AATTTATAATTATACAGGAAGCAAATCAAGCTGGTGATTCTTCTACTACTCAATTGACACAATGAATATGCTGCGTAGCATCTATAGTCATCGAAGAAACTATTTGACTTCTAAACCTATCTCATCTCCCAATTTGTGCAAAATTAAAGATCTAATCCGAAAAAAAACAATAAATTAAGTGATTTCTTTCAATTTATCGGCCGAATTTTTTTTTAATTGCGTAATTTTGGTTCGAGTTATCGAAGTTTAAAAATAAGTAGTTTATTAATCGTCTAAATTTCATTTACACAATTGCATTTATTGGCAATTTTCAAAAATCATAACAGTATAGATATTGTATTTTGGTAGCATATTTTCTGAATTATTGTATGATACCTTTATTATAATTGATATATATATTTTTACCTATATATTAGAGTATGCTCCTATTACTATTATAATTTTTTTTTTTTTTTTTTTGGAGTTCTTGGAAGTGGGGATCGTTGTATAATTTTGTTATGGATTATATAAATATTTGTTGATATATATATATATATATATATATATTGTTAAAAAAAAAAGTTAATCATTCTGTTCGATAGAAACATTAATTTATCTTCATAATGATAATGTAATAATTATAACTTATATATATTTATAAAAAAAAATTATTTAAATTTAAACATCATTAAAAATAGAACATTTTAATTTTGTTGAAATTTATTTTTTTTTTTTATTTATTTAATGGTACGTATTAAACACGAGACAGCATTTTTAATACCTCATCAGTTTCGATACTTATATTGCTGCTTTTTTCTTGACGTTTGCGAATAACTGCCAAAAGTTTAATCAACAAGTTTTCACAATAAGTTTGAGTGGCAGTATTATATGAGGATGCATTATATAGTATTGTATATAAATTATCCACCTTAAGAACGATTGATATATATAATAATATGTTAAATGAATATTTAATTAAATTTAAATCTATAAAAAAAAAAAAAAAAAAAAATACTTGCTTTAATCTCAATGGTTTGCATCATTTGTTCAAAGTAATTGTTTTCCAATTGTGTTGTTTCATTATCTGAGCAGTATTGTTGTAAAAATTGTTGCTGATCTACATGCAAAACCGTCATATCTACTTCATCAGGTACCAAGAAAATGTTATTGTTTCCTTGCGATACTTTTTTAACAGCCTTATCAATAGATGAATGAAAGGAATTGATCTCATTAATTAGATTATTCCATTCATCATTTTCCGTTTTCAATCTAAAAAAAAAGTGTCAGCAGATATATCCAAAGACAAAATTCAAATCATTTATTATTACTACCTTTGAAATATTGGTTTTAATTCTTCGAATTTATTTCGATTTTCAACATTTTGTTGATGTGGCTGCTTTATTCTTACTTGTAGATCTTGATCATTCTTTGTACATTTTTTTTTTTTTTTTTTTTTAAAAAGAAATTTCATAATTCATATAATAAATATCTTCGTCTAGAAAGCATATAAAAAAAATAAATAAACGATAAATAAACGTACATTTCGATGATACCAAGATGTATTTATTTTACTATCCATCAAATCGTTCAAAATGTCAGCTTCCACAATTTTTGCTATTTTAAGAGCATTCTCATCCTTTGATCTTTGCTTTTCCAAAGCCCTTTGTCCACACCAACTTAAAAGTTGTCTCAACTTTATTGGTCCAGGCAAGTCTTGCTGAATATGACGATAAAATTCTTCGTGGCTAATATCTGGATGTGGTTTTGCTGATAATAATATAAATGAAATGATAAGCTAATAAATTAAGCTTAATTGGACATCATGATTTATTATCTTCAACAAACCAACAAATCCATTTCCGATCGAAGATGCTCTTTTTCCCCTCTTATCAAGGCTTGATCTTCTTTTCTGTTTTCGGATATCTGTATTCTTCCTTATCACTGGTGTTTCGGATAATGGAATAGGAACCTCTGTCTCGTTTCTTCGTGGTGGACTAGTATATTTAAGTTGCGAATTCATCTGTTTTCCATAGGGCGATAAAGTCTCTATTGAAATTGATTATTGTTTTAAACCTTTGTATAGACTGTTACTAAATATGTATTCCGATAAGGGCTCCTTTGACACGATTTAAGTAATATTGAATTGAGTTTTTCTGAAGAACCCGCCTTTTTTACCTTCTCTTCGTGAGACTATATTATAAACCTTAAGTGCATTTTTTAAAAAAAAATTAAAAATAAAATAAAAACCATAAAACATA